CCAGCATCCACAGATCATGGGCCTCCTCAGAGCCCCCCCTCTCCTTTCAGGTATTCAGAGGGTGATTCATGTTAGAAAGCTCCGTAGAAATCCCATGAAGCCTTCTCTGGACATCTGATACTAAATAGATCTCTCTCTTTTAAAACCTTTAAACTCCTATAAAATCTTATAATATTTCTCGACTGCATGACTCAGGGAATGATGGAATTTCAGAGTCTCTGGGAGGTTAAGATAGAATTTCCAAGCCACTGGCCTGTGGAAATATTTTATTTGGAAGGCAAAGGGAAAAAGTTTGAAGCTAAAGGTCATTGGACTTTCAACAGTAATTGACAGAATGACTTTCCCTTTCCTTCTCTCTGTCTGATCCTCTCAACACCCCTGGCTGCCTCCTCTTCCTTCCCAGGCACTGAATCCTTGAGGCCTACCCTAGCCCCAGCTGCTGAAAACCATTGATAGCATCCAGCTCCCAATAGTCTGGTGGAGATGTCAGGGGAATTTTACAGGTGCACAGTACAGACTGGGCTGGGTACAACCACCTCACGACATCAGGCCCTCAAGCCCTCTTGTGTTGACACCTGAGCGAGGCTCATAGAGAGACAGTGATTCATTGGAGGTCACACAGAGAGGCAGCGTTGGTCAACACTTTCATCCACAGCCCTTTGCCCTCAGACCAGTTTGGTTTCTCCACACTGAGCTGCATCATCTGACACTAATCATATACTGCTTTCATTGGTCATTCTCTCTTTATATGGATAAGTCTTTTCTACATTGTGAGGAATAAGCCCTCTGAAGCCCAAGTCTCCTTTCAGGCTTCTTGGTACCTCTACAGTCCCTGAGGCTTCATTTTTGTCCACTTGGAAATACTTCAGAATTCCTACCAATGAGGCAATTGCAAGGATTAATCTTAGCATACTCTAAGAGTCATTGAGTTAAGAGCTGTTTGACTCATTTTGTTAGTATTTTTAGGTGTCTAAAGAAGAGGAAGAAAAAAAAAGGTTGACCTCTTAAAGACAGGCTATCTAGAATTCAAAACTCTTCATAGTCCAAATTAAAAGAAAAAGATGGAATTTGATAGCACTATATATATAAAAAAAATCGGTATCATAACAATAAGAGAGACAAGATACGCTTAGGAAGTCATTCACCAAAAAAACATACAGGAACTGCATGGACTGTATGCTCGATGTGTGATGTGGCAGTTATGAATGTAAAGGTTGTCACTGTTCAGTCATTTCACTCATGTCTGACTCTTCATGACCCCATTTGGGGTTTTCTTGGCAAAACCACTGGAATGCTTTGCCATTTTCTTCTCCAGTTCATTTTAGAGTTGAGGCAATTGAGACAAACAGGGTCAGGCAACACAATCAGGGTCACACAGCTAGGAAGCATCTAAGACTAGGTTTAAAGTCAGGTCTTCTTGACTCCAGGCCTTGTGCAGCCCCTAGCTACCCCTGAATGTCAAGGAAGCTAATTCAAATTTAGGTTGCATAAAGAGAGATGTAGATTCCAGGACTAAGAATGTGATGGATCCACGGAGGTGCCTTGGTTGGACCACATATGAGCATTAGTTTCCCCTGGGGTACTACATTTAAGATGAACAATGAAAAGCTATAAATTCCCTAGAAGAAGTCATCCACATGGGCAAAGGACCTTGAGGTCAAGCCCAATGAGGATTGGTTAAAAAAACAACAGGGACATAGAGCCTGGAGGAGTGTCAACTCAGGAGGTAGAGTGGGACATATGAACTTTCCTCTGTATTTAAAGAGTGGCCATGTGGAAAATGAATTACATTAAATTCTGATTGGTCCTAGAGGGCAAGAAGAAAACCAAATGGGCAGCAGAAATGGAGGGTTTATATGTCAGGAACTAAAGCCAGAATCCTCCCTGAAGCCAAGGACTGTTCTAAGGTGTCTGACGAGGCAATGGCCTCCCGTCCTCCATTTGGAGGTCACCCGGAGGAGTATGGATGGTAGCTTCTTGGGTGTGCTGGGAGTATCACTTGCCAGGCCTGTGAAGCCCCTTCCCATCCTGAGATTCTTGGACTATGACTCTAGTATCATCGTCGTCTTTGGTGGTCTCCACTTGAGGTAAAAATACGTCCTGCAGAAGGCACAGGAATGGTATCATATACCTTTTCTGAATCGTTCATGCTATGGGATCACTGTTACTAGTGAATAAACTGGCTAATCTCAGGTGTATCTGCTTCTCCATTACCGCTAAGCTTTACAGTTTTAAATTCTTTTTCAATGGCTGGAATACAATAGGAGTGACTATTTGCATTGTTTGTGGAATCTAGGAAAAAACAAAACCAAATACAAAAAATGTAAATTCATTTCTCCTAAGGATTTAAAAAAAAAAATTCCAAAGGGATCTCCTTTGCTAAAGGGTTAAATGCAATATTACCACAGCCAGGACTTCTCAAATCAATAGAAGAGAATTGTTCTCTGACATGGGGGTGAGCGAGCAAGTTTTCCATCAGTGACTACAAAATTAAAAATAAACACAAGCTAAAGGCCTAGCTGAATAGTGTTCACTCAGCATTTACACAGTTCTGGGAAATTTCCAAGCACTTTGCAATCATTAATTAATTAGCTGAAATGACATCCCACTTTCCTGAGGTCAAAACTGAGGCACAAAGAGGTTTATAGACTTTCCCAAGCTCAAGAAGCCAAGTCCACACAAGAGCCGAGAGGAGGCCCTGGAGCTGAGGACTTGCCACCCACAAGACCAGTCATCATTGCACCAGGCCAAGCTGAGTCAATATCAGAACAATAATGGAGTCTGTACAATGACAGCTGAATACACCAGTGTTCGGCTCCGAGCTCTAGTGTGAAAGAAAATAATATACACACACTGGAGATGTTTGTCACTTCAGAGACCTCTGCTCCCCTTTCCTAAAATACAGGCAGATGGCTGAATGTCAACCTGGAACCTATCTCAAGAAGAAACAGCTCACATGCGCATGTGCGCACTCACACATACAAACTGTGCGATCGGGCTTTAGTTATCGTAATATGCAGTTGAACTCGATGCTGAGAATGTGCCACATTGTTGAAAAAACAAACGTTCTTGATAGATAACTGACATGAGAAACCAATGGTGTCTCTAATAATTACATGCTAGATTATTGGGAATGGCAAACTAATTCAAATGGGAAAGGGGAGGGTGCCACATTCTTTCTAGTAACTCGTTAGCTAAGAGATGTCACAAGCTTCCCTGCTCTGAATGGGGTGGGGGGGGGATAAGTAGCTGTCCCCAGCACAAGCTACGACCCTTCTTTAGGGTCCTTTCATGAGGGCCAATTCACATCCAGATGCAAATCCCAGTTGGGGGAACTGCCTGTCTCAGAAGGATGGGGAATGCTTGGGATGGGACTGTATTCTGTTTGGAACACGGAGAAAACCAGGATGGTTCCAAGAGCCTCGGGCCTTGGACCAACCCACCCCTCACCAAACACCCCCACCCCATCCAACCTTGTCTGCTCGGAAAGCACTGTCAGCGGGCAGGATAAGACGGGCTTCTCCCCTGCGACCCTCCCATAAACCCACCCTATTCAGGCCAACCCAGAGGCTCTCTCAACCTGGTGGGGGTATGTGTGTGTGCCCAGTGATGCTGGCGATTGCCAAGCCCAGCTCTCACTTTAACGCTCTATGAGAGAGGGTGCTGTGGCGGTAGCCAAGTGTACGGCCACTGAATCCCATTTCCCTTCAATCGGTGGCTTTGTGTGTCAAAGGGGGCCATTCAAAACTTGGTGCCGCACTGAAACAAAGGCCAGGCTGTCCAGCTGGGCTAATTGGGCTAATCTTTGTGAAGAGCTAAAATAATCTCTCTCTGGTTTTTCCAAAACAGGTCTTGGGAACTCAGGCCTCTTCCAAGGCCAAGCTATGAAAGCACTTTGATTTATACAAGGGGGCTGGGTTTCTCAAAGCGCCTTACAGATGTCCAGACACCACCCACCTCCCTGTCTGTGCCCCCAAATCACTGTCAGGGTGGGAGATGCCAGGTCTCGTTAGTTTTGACATTGCTGTGGGGGAAACAGGCCAAACTGAGGACAGAGCTGGCCCCGTTTCACAGGCTGGGGACACTGGTGGCGTCAAGAGGCTCATTCACCTCTCCTGACTCTAAAATCTAAGACCATCCATCGAGGTGCATTTGCCTTCTCCAGGAAATCAGTGCCTCGGGGCTGGAGGAGAGCTCGGGAACTGGGACCAGAACCACTGGGCTCATGTCCTTGTTTGTTGTCTACTGTCTAGGCAATTGTGGGCAAGGCCCAACCTCTATGGACCCCGATGTCCTCATCTCTAAATGGAGGCTAGCTGTGAGTGCACTACCACACTGGGTCTGGAGAGAGCCACAGCCAACAGGGAGCAAGGAAGGAAGGGCATCATTCACCCATTCTTCAGTCCTCGGTGAAGCAGGGCATGATGCTCCCTCCTACACGACCCCTAGTCTGAGTGCCCCACCCCACTCTCTCATGGCTGAAATCACTTTGTATTTATTTCATGGAGAACCTATTTCATCTCTGAGTAGACTGTACACTCCTCGAGGGCAGGGATTATTATTATTTTTATTATTATTATTTTGCCACTGTAATCCCTAGTGCTGAATACAATGCCTTGCATACAGTAGGAGATAAATAAATGTTTGCTGATATAAATTGGCTTCTTCATCCCAGGAGAGGTTAGAATCACAGAATGTCAGAGGGCAAAGGGAAGGTGGAGAGTACTGAGGTTAAGCCTTTCACTTCACTGATGAGGAAACTTAGGTCTCCACATATTGCATGACTGGCCTAAGGTCAGCAGATGCTGCATGAAGCCCACCCTTCTGGGACCGAGCTCCAAATTGGAGTCCCTTTGACACATTATAGGAACCACCCTGGAAAAAAAGTCTGTGTGAGTCTTTGTGTCTCCTGACAAACATCCCCTTACCTTGGCCCTGAATAATCCAGACCCACCGTTTCTCACCACTCCCCCACAGTATCAAGTGAATTGGTGTCTTACCTTCGGCTGCTGGGGTGCTGTGGCTTGGGGAGCTAAAACAGAATCAGTGATGTACGTCTTCTTGGTCTCTGGGGGTTGGTACATCCCAGCAGGATTCTGGGTACTAGCTGGAGAAGGAGCATAACTTGGCTCGGATTTCCAGGTGTTCTGTGGGCCATAACCTGGTTCAGAACCATTTCGTCCCCCGTAGCCTGAGTAATAAGGATCCTGGTACCGGCCTTGATTGGGGGCATAGCCATAGGCAGACTCCGGCTGACGTCCAGGTGGTGGAGCATAGCCATATTCAGGGCCTCCTCGCAATGGTGGTGGGGCATAATGAGCAGGCCCAGGAGCGGGAGGTGCCTGAGGAGGGTATGCATGGCTCGATCCCGAGCTGTAGTACTGTCCAGGTGAAACAGCAGGCATGTAGTGAGAGCTAGGCTGCGCCGACTTGACATGGACATTGAACGTGGGCCTGGATGGTGTGGATGCAGTGGTATAGGAGGCCGGAACGGGCTGAGGCTGGGGCTGAGGCTGAGGCTTCAGCATTCCTATGGGAGCCACAGGGATGGGCGAGGGCTGGCCTGCTGGCTGGGGCTTCAAGGTGGACTTCTTCGTGGCTGTTAGAGGTGGCTGGTTGGGGATGACCATTCGCTTGTGCCCTGTGACAGGTGTGGAGACTGGAGGTGAGGCTGTGGGAATGGCAGCTCCCTGAGAGGCAAAGAACAAGAAAGAAAGAGAAATGGGAGGTGAGAGTCACAATCAGCCAAAAAGGAAATCAAAATCAGTGCACTTATGTGATTAAATTAAACAGCGGCACAAGGGAGCTAGAACTTGCAATCCTGCCAGTCATAAATGGAGCCATAAGTATTCTCGTGGGTCAGCAGCATGGACTGGAAAATGGAGTCCACTGTGTAATCTAATTCCATGAGTGCTACTGAGCTGCATGCCCTTTGGCAAGCCGCACAAAGAAATGGCCACTCAGTTTTCCTTATAGTACAAACAGAAGCCCTACATTTGAGGCACACACAGAGGACTACTGGGGACCAGTTAAAAAAATTAACACATCTAGGACAACCAGAGGGATGCTAAATGAGGAGACTAAACCCATCAGTGATATATGCACAGAGTTGGACTTCTCTTCAGTCCATCACCACCTTCAAACCAAGACAAGCCTGCTCAAAGAGACAAGGAAGATGCATTTTCAAGGTAGGGAGAAGAAGCAACCTGGAACTACCCCGAGTAACTCCCCAAATCCCTATAAGAACACCACTGTAAAAAAGAAACAAACAAAAAAACACCAATGAGGGCCAATAAAGACCCAAAAGTGGGTTCCTTTAGAAAAGAAATGGCATTTACTAACTCGAACACACAAGAAAGGACAGAAACCTTTATTATCATCATCATCATCATCATCATTATAATTATTATTTTGATGTGATGAGACCCTACCATGACCTAGTTTGGGAGCTGCAGACATAGGTTCCTCCTCAGCCTAGCCTGGATCCCTGACCCTGACTGGGTCCTAAGTGACAGAATGGTTCTGTTCCTAAACTATAAGTTGAGGCGAATCTGGGGTGACTGCTTCTCTCCCTAGTGCTCAGCCTCTCCCTGCAATGGAAGGTTCCACCTAACACTGCTGGTGGGACCCCACAGTCCTCACACCTCTCTGTCTGTCTCCCTGTTCTGGAAACATGACTCACTGTGTTTGCTGTCTTGGATGTCCTGATCGTGAGTGGGTACAGGGCATTTTTCAGACCTGTTTGGAAGAACTGTGGGGGAGGCACTTGCCTGTATTTCTTCCTACTGTTCCTGCCATCCTGGCTCCACCCTCCATAGGAGGGTCTTAATAAACACTTTACTGATGGTATTCTCCACACTCCCAACTCCTGATTGTAACCTCCTGGATGGCAGGGTCTGTTCTGTCTTTGTATCCCTAGGACTTAACACATAGGAAGCCCAGAGTGTCCACTGAACTGAATTGAACTGAATCAAATTGAATTTTCCTCCTTTCCATGTACGTCTAACAAGTCTAGCTTCTCCAATTGCCTCAGGAGCTCTGTGCCCTTACCCCCACTCTCTATACCAGATTCTGACAGCAGTAATAGACCGCACAGATGGAGAGAAAGGCAGGCTACTATAGATGGTCGGATATGCTCTACCCTATGTTCTTCTATTACCTACATTTTCTTTTTTTTTTTTTTTTACATTTTCTAATATATAAGATCAACCCTTTATAATGAAGATGTTTTATGGGAAAGTTCATGAAAACTGTGATATTTACAGAAGACAATGCCTTGGGACACACACATGTATATATGCGTGTATCCCATATAAATATGTTCTCAAATAGATCAGAAAAAGGAATACATCTCTTAAAGACTACTCATCCAAGTTATGTAGAAAACCAACATTTCAAAGTGTTGTGTTTTGTTTCTTTAATTCTTAATGCAAGTTGTGAGTAGCAGATTTATGAATTCATGTATAATATTCTTTATCTGTTCTTTGCATATGGAAAAACTCATATTTAATTATATCAGTCAAATAAACAAAAAACAAAATTGAAAACAACACTACACAAAATTAAAATTGCCAATATCTGGCCCCAAAGAAGAGACCAGAGAAGGTACCTGCCCTACATCTTTGAAAGGCAGAGCCCTATGGGCATAGAAAGCCACATATTCATTCAGACTTTTTCATATGTTGTCTTTTTGAATTTATTCATTTATTTTTCTTTTGTTATATTCTTTGTTATAAGAGACTGCTTTTGGGGAAGGGGAGGAGGAAAGAATTATAAAGGAAAATGTAGGAAATATAAAAAGAATCAGTAAAATGCACATATTTGTCATTTTTCTTTCCCAATAGATGAAAACTACTTCTTATAACCTTTTTTTAATGAAAGAGGAAGTGCCCAAGACAGAAAAAAAAAATGTCATCAAACTGGCCAATTTATCACCCACGTCAAGCCCTGCTTCTAGTCTTCTATATCTATACTCCTAATTCTCTTACAGAAAAAAAAAATGGGGGAAAGTCCATTTCCATATCTCACATTCTTTGGGGCCACATTTAACAGATTCTGATAAGCTGTGATAAGAGGCTTTTGAAAGACTCCCCAAGAAAACCTGCTGATGATGTCTTAATACAAACAGTAGGATAATATAATGTAAACAGGCACAAAATCAGTGTCTCTGTCTGTGTTTCTAAGCTTCACTGGGCTGGAAAAATGATTCACTCTGTGTTTGTGTGTGTGTGTGTGTGTGTGTGTGTGTGTGTGTGTGTGTGTGTGTGTGTGTGTGTGTTTAACTTTCTCACTCAGAATTTGGTTTGGTGTTTTCTCTGTTCATTGCAGAAGAGATTGCAGGGGAGTTTTGGAGTTGGGTTTCTTATTTCAACATCTTGGCTTCTTCAACCTTGACAATAATTGTCTATCTACAAACATGGGAGTGATTGCAATGGAAATTCTTCACCTTGGTAATCTTGAAAAGTTCCCAAAATACAGCCAATGGTTACTTCTTCGCATTGGCTATATGAGTATCATGATAGGTGGAAGTCGAGATACAGTCTTTGAATACTGGAGGACAGAATATTCCTTTCTCTACATTAGCCAGATTACAATTTGTGTTTTACCTAAAGTGTATCTGACCAACAAGACTGCCATTTTTTGGATGGGGCATCTCTAGACCATCTAGTCCAATCTGTCATTTTTCAGGTGGGAAGAATGAGGACAAGGGAACAAAGGAATTTGCCCAAGGTTACCCCACTAACACGGGGCAAGAGTGGGCCTGACTGTGGGGGTTCTTGACCTGGGGTCCGGAGGCCTCTTTTGTTTTAATATTGAAAATTGAGGTTTCTGTTAGTGTTGTTGAGTCATCTGCACTTGTGTCCAACTCTTTGTGACCCCATTTGGGGTTTTATTGGCCGAGATGCTAGGGTGGTTTGCCATTTCTTTCTCCAGCTCATTTTAAAGATAAAGAAACTGAGGCAAACAAAGTGAAGTGATTTGCCCAGGGTCACACAGCTAGTAAGTATCTGAGGCCAGATTTGAACCCAAGAAGATGAATCTTGCTGACTCTTGGCCCAGGGCTCCATCCATTGTGCCACCTAGCTACCCATCAATAACTATACTTCACTATAGTTGGCTCATGGTATAATCTTCTGTGTTTTTAATCTTTATGCATTAAAACCCATGATTCTGAGAAGAGCCCCATAGGTTTAACCAAATGCCCAATGGGTCTATAATACAAAAAGGGTTAAGAAAACTTGGTCTTGGTATTAAACCACTCTGTCTCTTTTTCATTATGATTCACATTTTAAAGGTGATGAAGAAATAAATATGTAAGACAACTTTTCTGATTTCTTTTTTTAAAGTATGCTCTATGGTGATTGAGTTGTCATGCTCTACGGTGATTGGGTTTCTTATTATCCTTCCAAAGACATTAAAAACAATGTAAAAAGAAAGAGTAACACGATTTAGGATGACGAGACCATATCCATGGCCAGGACGGGGGAGGGACCCAGGTACATTAATATGAGGATTGGTGGAATAAAAAGGGGAACTTCAGCACACAGAAGGGAGGACTAGGGGAAGAGGAGTGGAGGCACACTAGCCTTTGCCAGTCATCCTCAATAGTCATGCCATTCCCCTGAGATTATCCTCATTTTTTCACCCTCTATAGCTCACAATTGCTTGCATATTATTTTCCTCATAAGACTATAAGCACCTGAAGGGCAAGGACTGTTTTGGTTTTTCTTTGTAAAGCCAGCATTTAGCACACAGTAGGTGCTCAATAAAAGCCATCTGGCTCCAGCTCCATTTTCCTTTTCCTTCTGCCCACTCTTTCTAATTCTAGCCTCTGGGGCCAGGCAGAGCAAGGCTGATCTCTCTTCTGTATGAGTGCAAGCTTTATTTCAGTTAAGAAAAATAAAGCCCAGCCTATCACCTGGCAAATAAGATCAGAAGATCAAAGGTCTTGACCTGGAGGGGACATTTGACTTCATTAGTTCCAAGTGACTCACTTTACAGACAAAGATGTAGAAACCTAGAGAGGTGAAGGAACTTCCCCAAAGTCTGTCTGTCTGTCTGTCTGTCTGTCTGTCTCTCTCTCTGTCTCTCTCTGTCTCTCTCTCTCTCTCTCTCTCTCTCTCACACACACACACACACACACACACACACACACACACACACACACACACACACACAATGTATCACAGTAGAGATATGAACTCATCTCCTCAGACTCCACAGTGTCACCCTTTCCGTGTTTTCTCTGAAAATCTATGCGACACTTTATTTGATCTGAAACTGGTCACTAGCCACAAAAGCTATCTCATTAAAACCTCTAGCCCTAGCTGAGAGGAAGTGGATTCACAGTCTACCTCTGCTGCTTGTGGGCCTCAGTTTCTTCATCTGTAAAATGGGGAGGTTAGACAAGATAAATCTCTGAAATCCCTTCTACCTTAAGAACTATGGTCCTAGGATCCTATATGGTTGACAATCATGGAATGCCATGAATTCAGAAGAAACAAAATGACAAATAACTCACTAGACAGCCAAAGATGGACATTGAGACTGTGTAGGCTATGGAGGTTTCCCAACCATGGCTTGAAAAGTGGCACAGATGATCCCAAAGACTAAGAAAGGATGTGGATTGGTCATGCATTGAACTGGTGAGACAACAGATGGACAGTCCCATTGGCTCACTGGCACATCC